TCATTATCTTAGTCGAGATAGGGAAGATGAAAGCTTCAAGTAGAATATCAGCACTGACTACATTTTATTAGTGTCTGGTGAAAGTTTAAAAAAGTGAGTTGGGTATATATGGTAGTGAGAATACACAGGTTTTGAAAAGATTAACATCTTAATTGATCATAATGATGTAGTTTCTTTATCTCTATAGATCATTCATAATACATTACCAATGCATTTTAAAGGAAATTTCAATATTCTATTATCATTTTTAGCACTTTATTTACAAGTTTCCGTGGTATGCTAATCAAAACTACCATTCTTAGCAGAATAATTTCTATGTGTTTGATCATGATTCGTTAAAATGGGCTCGTTTGAAACATGTAAATTTAATAGTTGAGTTCATGAGTCAATTAAAACTAGATCGCTATGGAAAACGTGAAAGCACTGGATGACCATTTTATCCTAGTATGAGACTCTTCATCAGTGCATATCCACGAACCCAAAATAATCGGTCTCGCGCGCGAGCACTTAACATCTAGATCACTGATTCGGCATCCAGCGGTGTGAATGTCTAACTTCAGCCAATAAATGTAAATTTCTAACACAACTGTCCAGAAATTTATGACTTTCAACTATTTTTTAGATGTCATCAATTTTTTGACGAAATTAGCTTTCGAACAGTATTGAAGGATAAAACTATAAAATACTTTGAAAAGAATATTGGATTTATCAATTAACAATTGATCGACTTTTGTACACGAGTACAAATGAATACTGGAAAACTCTATATTTCTATGTTCTTTACATTAAACTCAATTGTTAATTCGCTAATATCTGGGTTCTTTTTTACATACTGATAGAGTATCACAAATCATAAACGGATGATTAGTTCATCTTCATCAGTAACTAGTATGTTAAGAATAAACCATATTTATTATATCTATTTTGTTCAACAAGCATCAGATTTGACTAAAATAAGTTGCTTTATTGAACTCATCAGTGTTAGGGTTAGGGTTAAAGCCTATGCGTGTTGTCATATTCATGTGTTTAAAAAAGACAGAATACAATATTCTATTATATCACTTATTTCCTTTTAATAAAAGTTCCCATTGTAAGTAAAAAAAGTAACAAAATCTTGAAGAATATGAATTTGTAATTCAAAAAATCCAAAAATTAGATTAGTCAATTACAAATTCAGTAAGTTCAACTCATTATTATCCATTCGTTTACAAAGTCACTAGATTACTTCTATGAAATGTTTGTTTTTTCACCCTACATCATTAAATCTAACCGAGTCATAATTCATGCATGAATCAGGAATATGGAATCCAAATACTGACTTAATAAATTTATTTTATGGACTGAATTACCAATTGTTTCAATTATAGAAACTACGGTATACCAACTTCTGAATAAAACATTATTTCCTAATTAGTTTATTTGTAGTTTAATATTTTTAGAAAAACAAAATTGTGAGGTGAAATGTTTACATTTAACGTGATCATGGTGATAAAACAAATAGTTTTTGTTGTTGTTGTTGTTGTGGTTGTTGACATAACACTTCATGTCCTTTGTCCATAAGTTATGTTTTGTCTGCGGTCTCATGTATACGCCTAAATTATTTCATTTGTAGAAGAAGAAGAGGAAAAAAAAGAGAATTTCTCGAGGCAACTATTTTGATGTTTAGTAGACTATTTTTATGACATCATTAAACCTTTTTATTGTTGTTCTTTTGATTCATGATGACCTCAGTTGAACTAGTCAGTTCTTCTTCGTCTTATTCTCATTCTTTTTCTTTTTCTTCTTCTTCTTCCATACCTTAAACATGATTCTAATTATTAATTATTCATTACTACAATAATTCACATGTCTTAATGTTTCATTTTTATTTATTTCTTATTTCATTATGTCACTTGAATCAACTTGACCTTGGATAAAAATGAATAAATAAATAGTTTATTTACATTTAAAAAAATTTGGTTTTCATGTTCTTGTTTTGTCTAATAATTATGTATTTAGTGTCTGTAGTAACCAAAATGGAAAATCATATTCATATTACTTTCCAGGTGTACAATTTTTTAATCTTTTCTCAGGTTTCTACTTAAATTAATGGTAGTAGTAAAGTGTAAAATGTGATTTATAAATAAATGAGAATAATTTTAAGGGATCTTTCTTCATATGCATAAGCATGAAACTTTATGTTTGGCCAAGTTTTAGTGTTTAGATTATGTACGACAATGAATAAAATACAATTTAATACCCAGTGTAGTACATTAGACCACATACATAGAACTCGGTTAAATATGACCTATAGAAATATTGAGTATTCAGTATTTGTTTAATGACAAGTCAATTGAAGTGTTCCAGTTTCATTAGTTGAACGAAATGATTTTGTTGTTAATCAGTTGGATGGAATTTTGAGATGAGGGAAGCGTTAGCAAGAAAACAACTCAAAACGAACGTCATCTCGTTGTTTATAACAATCGGTTCATGATCTCAATCAAAAACTTAATAATCTCTACAACCCAATATTGATAATTACCATGTGCTCACTAGTGACTAGCTTTGTGAAGGAATTATCGGAGTTCTAGTGAGGAGCGGTGATCAGTGGAGCTAATCTATGTCGGGTAGAGACAGATATCTACCTCAGTACAATTGAAACTGGTCGCGCAATTTCGTGGATTGGTTGAGATTATACATTAACACCATTGGATGCCGAGTCAGTGGTCTAGTAGGTTAAGCGTTCGCGCGCGAGACTGAAGGCCCTAGGTTCGAATTCCACAACCAGGATCGTGGATGCGCACAGCTGAGGGGACCCACGATAGAACGAAACGGCCGTCCAGTGCTTTCAGGCTTTCAGTTGTGGTCTAACACCAACCGGTTCACGGTCTCAATCAAGAACGTAATAATCTCCACAACTCAATATTGATAGGAATTTACAAATGTATATGAACATGTGATTAATTTCCCGTATGGAAATCCAGCACCTTAAGAGATGAATTAATAGAGATTTGCAGCTCTGATGGGTACTTGTGGTGGAATTATGTTTTCTTAACTAGATTATTTAATTGCTGAAAGTTCAATGTCATTCTGAATAACAACTTTCACGCCTATTTCATGTAAAGTTGAACAGAAAAACCGTTTCCTAGAATGACAATTAAATCGCTGCAATCAAACTATCTAGCTGAGAGGAAACACCAACGCCAAAAACTTTGAAGGCCATACTGAATTTTTTTTTCTTAATTTGACTAGAGACAGTTGCTAAATTATTATGTCAATAAAAAGAAGTAGTAGAAAATTAAACGAAATTAAATCTCTTGAGTTTTGTTTGTCAATTATTGGTAACTAGGGAATCTATTCTGAAAGGGTACAGTCTTTCTCTTAATGATAATGTCATCCAGAAAGCCATCAGCATCTAAAGCATCTTTTAAAAGGGCACTCACATAACAGAATCAATAACATTACTTGTTTATTTAAGATGAATAGGATACCAAAATTATTATTATTAATTGAATAAATGGGTTTCTAAATTATAGTATGCATCACTGTCAGAGTTCAGTGTACTGGAGTTTTTGAGTGTCACTTTTCTGTTAAATTTACTAGAGCAATATCAAATATGTAACATAAAATATAAAGTCATATAATATTGACACTCGTCAGCAAAGTGTACCTGAGGGAACTGATGCACCTTGATGGAGTCGATCCCGTTTCACCCAGTTTCATAGTCAGATACCTTACCATTGAGCTATCCGGACTTAGACATATCTACAATTGATTGTTCAGTGAGTGGGTTAATTTTTTAGTAAGAAAATAGTGTTAAAATATCTAGACGTTTTATTTCTGCAAAAATCTGGGTTTAATGGCTTAGTAGATACATGGCGTAAAGTTTCAACTTCATTTATTGTGTGTTAGGTAATTTGAGTCCAGCAATAAGGTCTATGTAAATTCTTGAGAAAAGGAAACCAAGTCTCTTGTATACATACTAATTAACCACTGAAGCATTCGTTTCACTTGATCACCATTTTGTTTCTAACAAAACATTTCATCCTTGGATCATTTTCCAATAGAGGATTTTTTCATCATTTAAAGTGGACTAAGTCGACGTTTTTATTCAGACAAATATCAATTAGTGTTAAGACGAAGTTAATTTTTCTATGTCACTTTCCAGAGTAAACAAGATGAATCTTACTTTCAGTTCAGAGCTTATGGATCTAATACAAACATAAGGCATATATCGATCCCCAATTTATTGTTGATCTATTCTAGAAGATTTCAGTGTAGACAATAAAAATACAAGCATTTTCAAATCGTGTCATTTTTAAATCTACATATAAAACACTTGGATAGCCTAAAGTTATACCATAATAATTTAGCTTATAAATTATTGAGCGTTACATGAGGCTATATATTCAAGATCTTTATTCAAGCTAATCAAGAGTATAGTTTTATATCAACTATGGGAAAGTCATCATTTCGTTTCTATGCCCAAAGTTTTGTTCGATCGCGCAGATATTCTTGAGATAATCTTCAAAAAGTTCTAACTCCGCCTGTAGCTCTTCTAGGGTTAATGCCAGTCCCAAGCCCGGATAAAGGAGTAGAGTTGGGTATGAATTCAGCAACCCCGTCCCGTAGAAAATAATATTACTAAATGATCGCTAATCAAAATAGACAACTTAAACCATTTTAACTGTGACCTCAGAGTTGAAGGATCTATAATCAGAAAAACTGTTATGTCTCATTATCAAAGCCGAGGTTCTTCGGAAGCTATGAGGTCGATGCCTCTTCTAACAACCAGAGCAACAATTAAGTTAGATACATGAAATATCCGGAAAATGTGAGAGACCGGAGGGACCAAGCAAATCCTTAGTAAGTTCAAAAAACTTCTAGTAAAAGCACGGTTTTTCTATAATATTTGTGCAATGATATAAATTTGTTTTATTTAATGAATCATAGTATTATATTCAACATTGGAATTCATTGTGAAATGTTATGAGATGAATCAATTTTCTTCAATTTTCTTTTTATAATAACCCAATGGAATCACTTGGATGTAGTGGTTTTGATTCCAATTCTTTTAGTTGTTTTTTTGCTGTTAGGGAAAATTATTAAAAAAACAACAATAGAAATACGGAGAAAATTAAAGAGAAATTCAGTATTAAAAGTTATTTATTGTAGTGTAAAACAAGTAAATATGTCATTAGATAACTGATTGGAATTTGAAAAAAACTCACTGAATAAGATCAGATTTGAATCTAGATGTCTTTATATTATTGAAATATCACTGTGATTATAGTATTTTATAAATTGTTATGTTCGTTAACTTGAATGCTACTACTGATTCGTCTTACGGAAAGAAGAATCAAGGATTCAAAGAATCTATAGGCTTTCTAGGTTTGAAGCTATCACGAGTTCACTTAATCGGCGAACGAGAACAAGACTCCGTGGCCAAGGACCACTAAGCTAGCTATTGATGCGTCCCAGCCCCGCTAACTAGAGGGAGAAGTACAAGCTTGGGATGGGGAAGTGTATTCCGCAAACAGCCAGAAAAGAGCGATGACAGCAAACACAAATTGAAACATATATATACAGCACAAAACCGTCCTTATGGAGAGTTACCAAATATCAAACTAAAGGACACAACGGACCAATAGCACTTAGGGTATTTCCAAGTGGGAATACGACATGAAGGTGACAAGAGTGCCTTTGGCGCGAAAACAAAGAAATTCAAATTTTCTAAGTAAATTACGAAATTCGGTCCTTTCCTAAGTGAGCTCTGGGGATCTAACGTCCCCAACATAAATCATGACAACTTTATATTGATTAATCATTCTTGGCGTCTGCAATTTAGTAGTAATTTACTCTCACCAGCCCCACTACCACCACCGCCACAAACATAAACCCGTATCTCACGAGACATAGATTATGTTGCATACATTAGCTTACAGTATGATTGTAAAATAGTCATTGAAAGAGTTAATGAGAATATTGTCCGAATCTTCAGTAATGACGATATCAACAGTTTCACGCTTCAGTATGGTTTTTTTCCTTTCTTCATCTATTCTTTTCTGTACTTGATTATATCCTAAGTGAAATTTGAACCTTGTCATTCCCCTAATGTATAATTCGTTGTGAATAGTAAATTAATCTTTGATAAAAATAACCACATCATTGTTAGATCTATCGAAGTTTCTAGGTCACCCGACTGAGATACGCGCGAAACCGAGGTTCCAAAACATCGATTTGTCTACAATAGCGGTTCTTTATTGAATAATACACAAATTTTAGTTACAAACCTCAACTCTTGAGGTGGCTGGGGCGTTTAAACGCGTCTTTCATGTGTGAAAATAAAAGGGCTTTCTGTAACAGTAACACAAAGAATAATTACAACATACGATAGTACAAAGGACAGCTAATAGCTGTGTCTAAATTTGATAACAGTTTATGAACAGCCGAAACCCGAATCAGGAGCAAAACATTATGGAAGCTGTTGCGTTTAAACAAATGCACAAACTGTGGATAACCGCTACAGCGATTAAGGTACAGTAATTATAATGATAAATACAATGATAAGTACAATAAACGTTATAAGTATATGTGAAGAATCCAAAATATTACATTACAACTTGCGTCACAACGTAAGTGTGAAAATTGTTGTGAATACAACTGCTTACTGAATGTAAATAAGTAGTATAAAAAAAATATACAAAAGAGTGGAAAAGGAGCGAGTAGGAACAAAGACAAACTTAACAATCATAATACAGAAGTTTGTGAAGAGAATGAACAATGACCATTGACTCATTTTAATTCTGCTAACAGAATTATTTAAATCTATTTTTGTAGGTTACTATGAAGAGGAACTAGGTCTACAGATACTGTCAATGTTTGCTATACATTGATATTTAGTGTTTTATTATAAATTACATGCTGAATATTTTTGAATGCATCCATTCAGCTTGTATCATTTTAAAAGATGAATATGGTTCCATAGTTCGTTTAATATTTTTAGGTAAAAGTTCTAGAATGATTGAAAGAGATTTTGATGTAAACACGAAATATGATTTCATTTGATAATATGAATGTAAATAGTTTATGTAGTTTAATGCTTAAACTACACAGAGGTTAGGATTCCTTAACTAATTTAAATTATATTGTCGACATAATATTTCGTGGAATGTTGAACATTCGTTTCATTGGAAAATTTCATTCTATATCCTTGAATCCTTATTTTTCAACGGAATATACTATAACATTGAAATAGCTAAAACATTGTGTTGTGTTAACTGTGATAACCGACATGATTGAAGAGTTGTGATAGGAACTTTATAAAAGTCACAATTGTTTTTTAATATTATCGACTATCGATGTGTATAGCATAGAAGTTGACAAAACACTATCAGTGACAACTTAATGTGGGAGAGCACAAACCAGATTCCAGCGGAGGAAGAAATCAGGAAGAAGTGGTGGAAGTGGATATGATATTAAGGAAAACACCCAACTGTGTCACAAGGCAAGCCTTCACTTGGAATCCTCAACGCCATAGGGGAAAACGAAGATCAGAAAACACATTACGCCGAGAAATAGGGGTAGACATAAGAAGAATTAACAAAAATTAAATAGAATTGGAAAGGAAGACCCATGATAGAGTGGTTTGAAGAATACTGGTCGATGGCCTATGCTTCACTGGAGGTCACAGGCGTAAGTAAGTAAAAAGTGAAAAACGAACGTTGGATGAATAACATGAATTAATCATTTTAGTATAATGTAAAAAATGACCTAACCTTCTCTACGAATTACATCTGCCAAATCAGGGAAATTATTAGCTAAAGCTAAATCTGCTGGTTTCTGACCAAAAAGATTTAATTCCACAAGACTTGCTCCATTCTTCATAAGCCATTCTACCGTTTCTGCAAATTATGAACGGATTAGACTAGATAAGTCGAACATAGTAAAGAATATGAGCAAATAATGGGCAATTTCACAGCAATAATCACATCAAACAAATGCTTATATGAACAGGTCGAATTTAGTCTTATAAAGAATTATAATCAGAAAGGGGTTTTGTGGATATTATAGTAATTTAATGGTTGAGTTCATGAGTTAATTAAAGCTATACTACCATGGAAAACCTGGAAGCACTGGACGGCCGTTTTGTCTTAGTATGTGACTCCTCAGCAGTACGTTTTCACTATAAAATTCACAAAACTACTCTCTGAATATAAATATCAGTTTATTTGTGAAGGGTTTGGTCATTTTTTTCATATTTATAACACTTAATCTGTTTCTCAACTAGCTGATATGTACTCTTAATGAAGTGACATTAATAGACTTCAATTAATGCCTTTTCATTGTGACTATTAGTAAACTCTTTGCCAGTGTTAATAAACGTTGGCAAAAGACTAGTCTTGCAACTTTCTTCGATTGTTATTTGAAAACTTGAGGAACTAAGGAATGGTTTATCTTAATTTAGTAGACTGTTTGTTTCTCAGCAATGGTGATAATTTCTAATTTGGAACTTTATTGAACTCCTAGAATCACTGAACAGTTGTTTCGTTCCAGTATGGAACTCCTCAGCAGCACATGTGCACGATCCTGCACGTGGGACTCGAACCCAGGATCGTCTGTGCCGAGTGAATACTTAAACTCAAGACTACTGGGCTGACGTCCAACGATGTCATTGTTAATGTCCATCTTCCAATGTTTTCAGTGGGTAACTGCCTCATACCTGACAAAAGTGAACTATACTGGTCACGGCTTTTTACTAGATCTCCAGAAGCTACATCGCGAGGCTCGTCACTGGGATGTGGAAATAGGATCATGATTTGAAAGAAATTCAACAATCTCCTCAACAACATACTGATCAATAAAAAGTTAGTTCAAATAGACTGACATCTGATCTAACATGATGAACATAAAATTTCTGTCAAACAACTATTTCGAGTTATGAAATTATTTTTATTGGGAGCAATCAATTGTATAAATGAAATATGAAAGATTTCACGTAAACCTATTTGTTGTGTTATTGATACTTTCTTCTAGATTTAAAACTATTCTTCGTACATCACTTAATTTGTAGGGAAATATGATAAATTTGTTACAAGTTACTGTCCCTACTTCTAATAAACATTACGCACACTTTATAAGTGGAAGAAGAGTTTGTAAACGATTATGCTTGAATTGAAGACCTTAGCACCATAACTTAATAAATCTGTTATGTAGTATCAAGGATTTAAAGTATCTGCAATAATGTTGTGCAGTGTCCATTATTTAGGTCACACGTTTCTATATAGTGTTGTAGTGCTCGTCAAATCTATCCAGTGGACACCATCATCATACTTCATTCACAGTAAACAGTACAGATTCTCTGATATATTTGTAAAGCTCATATTGTGACTAGAGTTATTTTGGTGTTATTACTGAAAATTATTCTAAAGTTTCATCAACCCGATTAGAACAACAAGTTATTAGAGTTACCATGGATTCATTGGATACTGAAAACTGTTAATTGGTTACACATAACCAAGATTTATTGCGAAAACAAACAGAAGAATATGTATACATTGTGAACAAATTGAAAATAAAGAGATTGATTGTTCAAACTTAGATTATACCTTTTTATTTTAAAAAAATGGTTTATATCTTTCTGATGGTTTCAATTCGTGACGAAAACAGCTATTTTACTAAGAATATTTAGGTTTTGAATATATATACATATATATAATGTAAATTAAAATGTCCTTGTTTACTCATTATCTGGCTGATCATCTAGATGATCTTTTCATATCCACTACCCACCTATCATCTAAAAATTGTGTATTATGAGAACAACACTTCATTGTTCAACAAGGAATCCAGAAAAGTCATTTAACTTTTGTACTTGAAATCAGTCGATAGAAAACAAAAACTGTTGCTCATGTTATTGAAAAACAATTCTATAACAGATTAATAAGAATCCTTAAATGAATATCTACACATTTCATTATCAAACTGACATATTATCTTACCACTATGTCCATTTCTTGCTGCATGGTGAACAGGTGAACAGTTCATCGAGTCCAATTGATTCACATTACAGCCATGTCGGACAAGTACCTGAATATATGAGAGTAGAAAGTGGTAAAATACTTTTAAAGTATTGAATCATGTATGTAATAAATGAAAAGATGAAAAGTTATACGTAAACTAATTCATTGATTTTAAACAAGAATTTATTATTGTTCACACGTTCATTGTTAAGGAGAAATGATTGGCAAAGTTTAAGATTTCATTTCTAATTACAATGAATGAACATGATATTACGATCAATCACACAACTCTGTGAAGAACAGAATCTTTACATTTTTTTTCTTAGTGGCATTTTGACAACTCAACAAACTAGTCCGCAAAGTAACCTGAAAATATGGAACATATAATGAAACTTGAAACAAGATATGATGTTTCCTATAAAGCTAAGGAATTCCTTTTGAAGTCCTATTCCATGGTGAATAGTCCTTCTAAAATACAGTTCATCGAATAGGTAAGTATTCATTTCATTCTTAAAACATATATGTGGACTAACTTGAAAAACAACCAGTTAAAATTTCACTGGATAGTGTTATATCGCGACGAGGATAGTGGGTGGTAACTTTTGAGAACTAGTGATGGACAAATACGATACACAAATTTTTATTGTATAATTGATAAGCAAGTAAACTATCTATATTCATGTTCCTCCTATTACAAGCTTTATTTTGACCTATAAACTATTATTGTACTATTTACCATTCTTGAGTTATCCCCTGTCTATCAATTACTATCGCCCATATTCATAGCTACATTTGGCTAATTCTTGTACAAATGTTATTTTCCCTTTTATGGTACAATGTGGTCTGTTTGATTGGTACATAAACCCTGTATGCTTGACATAAATGATTCATATTGCAGAGACTGAGATTGGTGTTCTGGACTTAACTGGCTGGACTAAGCAAGAAGAAGGACCGATAATGACTCTAGACTGTTCGTACGGGTTTATGTGCCGTTGGTCCGGTCGATAATTCACTGTTCTCTAATTGGCTATATCTTTGCGTTACATATTGATAGGAGCACAATACTACAACATATAACAGACAGTCAGTAAAGTGTATTAATAACTCTAAGTTAAAATTCATACAGACAATAACAAGTGACATTTTAATAACTATGACTCGCTCAAGTCACATTGTGGATACAATCTTAGGGATGACTATATCTGAAAAGTCTATATACCGATTTGTGAAAACCTGTATGATTCAATCAAATTGTTAAACTTGGTGACAATAAAATTGTTGAGTCGGCTTTCGGAGAACTTCAACGGAGCCTCCAGAGGCCCAAAACGAGCCGAAGAGTCCTAGCCAATCAGAGCATGATGGAGCATTCTAGAATTCCAACGTGGCGTGCTACTACTGGTCAGTAGCATAATATGTCGTTAACGGATTGGCCGAAATATGATGCTGATTTAACAAACGTTAACATCTATAAATACCCATGTTTTCTGAACAAAAACGAACCTTGGAGTAAAGTGTCTCTCATACTTTTCGTCTTCTTTCTGGTGTTCAGGTCGCTGTATAGTTCTAGCGTGCAGGTTATCAGAATAGCTTAGGAACGAATATAGCGTTCAATCGACAAGACTTATCAACAATCAAAACCAAAAATGTGAAAGAGATAAAAAGCTTAAAATCAAAAAGTGAACTTTTCATTTCATGAAAGTTAAATATTGTGTGTTGCTATATGAGAAATTATTGTTTCTATGCTGCCACCTTCAAGAGTTACCTTAGTTATATAAACAATTGAATATTGTTATCGGAACTGTAAAACAATAAAAAATTCTTTGCTTTACTCTTAAAACATTCAGAATCAAGTTGAAGTACATCAAACACTTTGTGGTCTAAAAATGTTAAGAATAACGATTTGTGAGTACTTTAGTGTTAAAGATTCTACAGATCTAATTACATGAACAGTTTTCTGAATAGATCTGAAGAAAACAAAAAGAAGAAAGAACTGACTAGATTTATCCCACTGATTATATTACCCATTTACTACTGAAAAACTGTTTTTATAATTTGGATATATCTTTACTCAACTTCCTTCCAAATTCATTATCTCTCTGATTTCAGTAATATTCCAGCTAATTGTATTCAACTTAAATTTATATGATTCGGAAGTATTGAACTTCTCTGTTTAGTTCTATGAAACAAATGCGAAATCTGTTTGTGTCAAGCAATTTTATTACTCTGTTGTGTGGCGTCGAGTCGCAGGTGATTACGATCATCACTACAGGAAGACTACGTCCCAGTTAACCGATAAGATCACCCTTAGGCCAAATATCAGAAGGCATTTGATGGCTGTAGTCTAGATGTATTTGTTGGCGATCTCGTGGTATCGAAAGAATACCGACATCGTGCCAAAGGAGTACAAGTGTGGTTACTGAGCGTAATCGAATCCGTGCAAAGTCACAATCAACGGAAGGAAGAATGTCTTTAGTACAGTTAAACAAACAAGTACAGTAAAACAATCACTGATATAATTGGTTATAATAATAATAGTTTCCATTAAACCAATCGCGTTCTCTTGATAAAAGTAGGTCACTACAACTCTACATTCTATGAAGTAAAATCCTCACTTTTTCGAAGTGCTAATATAGTAGAAAAGCATTATACATGATAATCAGGAATTGAAGTATAAATAATATATCGCTCACTTCCAAACATTTTGGATTTCCCCAAGCTGCAGCTGCATGTATAGGCATCATTCCAGTCAATTCATCTGAATACAATGTTACCTGATCAAGTTTTATTGATTGAAAGACACTAAATATCAAAATATTTCTGATAACATAATTTATACTATAACAAATGCATTTGGTTAATATTAGCAAAGATCAATAGAGCTGATAAATAGTAGTTGATAATTAAATCAAGAGTGATGATTATTTGACTGAATGAATGAGTCTTAGTTCTATTTATATCAAACCCATTTATATTGGATTCTGATTTCATCTATGTTTATAGTGAATATCTTAGATAAATGATCATATAAATATCAATTTGATAGTTGAATTCATGAGTCAATTGAGGTTATACCATCATGGAAAACCTGGAAGCACTGGACGGCCGTTTTGTCTTAGTATGTGACTCCTCAGCAGTACGTTTTCACTATAAAATCCACAAAACTACTCTCTGAATATAAATATCAGTTTATTTGTGAAGGGTTTGGTCATTTTTTTCATATTTATAACACTTAATCTGTTTCTCAACTAGCTGATATGTACTCTTAATGAAGTGACATTAATAGACTTCAATTAATGCCTTTTCATTGTGACTATTAGTAAACTCTTTGCCAGTGTTAATAAACGTTGGCAAAAGACTAGTCTTGCAACTTTCTTCGATTGTTATTTGAAAACTTGAGGAACTAAGGAATGGTTTATCTTAATTTAGTAGACTGTTTGTTTCTCAGCAATGGTGATAATTTCTAATTTGGAACTTTATTGAACTCCTAGAATCACTGAACAGTTGTTTCGTTCCAGTATGGAACTCCTCAGCAGCACATGTGCACGATCCTGCACGTGGGACTCGAACCCAGGATCGTCTGTGCCGAGTGAATACTTAAACTCAAGACTACTGGGCTGACGTCCAACGATGTCATTGTTAATGTCCATCTTCCAATGTTTTCAGTGGGTAACTGCCTCATACCTGACAAAAGTGAACTATACTGGTCACGGCTTTTTACTAGATCTCCAGAAGCTACATCGCGAGGCTCGTCACTGGGATGTGGAAATAGGATCATGATTTGAAAGAAATTCAACAATCTCCACAACAACATACTGACAACAGTGATCCTGGTTACTAGCAGTTGAATGTTTCTCATTTTCAAAATATATTCCAAAATAAACACACTTTCCTAGCTGAAGTCACTCCCAAATGTTTCATGTCTTAGTTAAATTAATAAGTTTACGATCATTTGTAAGTAAATAAGCAAGTTTATGCATATCGAACTTTTGTCAGGACTGTACTATGGTATTTATTTACTGAACCATCACATTTATTTTGGGAAATTAAAATAAACTACTAAAATAAGAAAAGTAGACAAGTTATGTTTCAAAAATTATTTAAGACAACAAGCAACACAAATTTGTGGTTTCATACCAACTTAGGCTTCATAGAATTATTGCAAATACATGTACTAAAAATAAGTAAAATGTTAATTCAGAGTGTCGGACTTCATCATATCGGAAGTTCTTTTTTTAAATGAAACAAATTGCTCCATACCGAGAACATTAGTAGATTTGGTAACTTACATCGAATTCATCTAGTAGTTTGTCCAATATTTCATGCTGTCCATAGATTGCTAACCCCAAAATAAAACAGAATTAATTGAGCAGTTAGTTAATAAATAACCCGATCAAATATGCTGTTTTATCTAAATGAAAATATTGACCAATGTATCATTAAGAATTAGTGTACACTTAACAATATTTTATCGTTGAAACCATGAACCAATAGTTAGACCTCCGCCTGGAGCCCCCCTGAGGCTACTACCGGTCCCAAGCCCGGATAAAGGAGGAAAGTTGTGCATGGGTTGGAGAATGCTGGTCGGCGGCCTATGCTCCATTGGGAGTAACAGACGTATGTAAGTAAGTAAGTACTTCTCAACCTGAGTATTATCAGCTACTGGTCTAAAAAGAGAAACTATCCGAGCAAATTTATAGTTTACAACCCTGGAGATGCAAAATTCTGACTAAAATTCATATTGTATCTGTGGATTATTTAAAAATAAAATGTAACAAATTGATAAATTGGAAAGTGGAATGAAAAGTGAAAGCTGATTTTATAAATAAGATGAATTTAAGCATTACATTTCGAATAATGAGATCGTACATTTACCTTTATGGTAATTAATGAAACAAAAAAGTCATTTAAATTAAAAAGGTCAAATAGATCAAAAGTACTAACTCAGGTAATCAACCATCTTGCTTTATTACAAGGGATATGAATAAAACTGTTTATAAGATTGACCTAGATGGTTCACTCTTAGTTGTACGATAACCTCAGACGTTAAAATATGTATGTTTACTTTATGTATGAACAATCTTATTCAATTTTTATCCACTATGGTAGTCCGAAAATCAATATTAATATTAGAACTTATCTTATGACTTCTTATTCGTTCTTCATCATGCCATCTATCTTCAGTATATTTTTACTGATAATCATTCATTAGAACTTTTTTGGTTTTCGAATAAAATGTCATAATGAGTAAATGTGCATTCTAATGGTTCAAACTTTATCATACGAGTATGTCAAGCTTAACATTTCGATTTCGTGGAGTTGTGTGCTCTGAGCTGGATGGTTTAGTCGTGGAGGTTTGATCGTTCTTGTGAACGACAATATCAGCACAAATTTCAGGTGAAAGTCCATTGCGTTTTCTTATTACATTTTTGAAATTTCAGTAGTTGAGATTATGAGTCTATTGAAACTATTGTGGGACTCCTCAGAAGTGCGCATCCACGATCTCGCCTCGAGAGATTCGAATCCAGGACCCATTAGTCTCGTGAGCGAGCGCTTAACCACTAGACCACTAAGCTGGCATCCAACGGTGTTAATATCTAACGTCAACTAATCCACGGAATTGAGCGACACATCCACCACTGTCATTAGTGAGTTACTATCTCACAAGAGACCCGGTTGAATTCCGCTGGTCAAAAATGCTCATTACTGAGGAGTTCAGTGCTTCCAGGTGTTCTATGGTGGTCTAGCTTCAATTGACTCATGATCTCAACGATTGAAACAACTATAATATCCACAAAGACCCATCTGACATTTTGAAAATTGACAATAATTTGTTTCCAAAATATTGAAATAAGGTCGTCTATATTTATAATAAAGATGAAGTTACTCTGTTTGTTGTAACCGTTGCCTCAAATCAGTGTGTGTGTGTTTGAGAAGACAATTTATTGAAATTTAAGACAATTATGAAATAATGTTTGTAGAAATTGAGCTATCATTAAGATTGGGTTAATGACTACAGTATCATACAAAAACTATGATTGAATCTGAAAATATATTTGGTTCACTTGACTACACAAAATGTTATTCTTCTTTTATATGAGTTTACTGAATGCAATGACTAGTTATATCAAACAATTGAGCGTATTCATAATTGAACTACTCTAACCTACTTCTAGATTACATTTTAGTCAAATAACAAAACAACAGAATGAAAAGCTAGTCAATACAGACTAATTTACAGTAAACAATTGACATTCACTACTTATCTAACTTTCATAAATGAACTATAAATTAATATCATCATATATATTGAACAATCTCCTTAGTAACATAGAAGTAGTTATTCAATAGGTGAGTAATACAGCTACACAGTTTAATTTGGTTAGTATTTACAGATAATATAAGAATAATTATCACATACCTGCTATGTATGCTTCTAGACCAATTCTCTGTTGTTGATTAGTATCATCTATAAGTAGATAGCAAGTTTATTAAATAAAATATCATCGAAAAACAGGGTTTCTCTTTAAAGCTCACTGTTAACCGATAACATTAAATTAAAGATACGTGATGTTTGGTTACTGTAATTCAAATACATGTAATGAAGAATAAAGTAAACAGAAAGTTAAATAAGTAGATCTTAGTACAGATTCCTTACAAGATTTTAGTAGATAAGTTGTGAAAAAATGAGTTTACTTCTCTGAATATTGTGATTATGAAAGCTGTAACAATCTATCATCCATATATTGGAGTCAGTTTTATCAATACTATCAGTTAAGAAGCGAAATAACTAGTTGAACATTTTTAGAATTTATAATTTCAAAGTCCGTCAGTGAATAACAACGTAGAACTTCGTACGTACGTACATCAGTTCGAGTTGCCATACCACATTAGCACACTGATACAATTGTCGATACGAATCCCATAGTGGTAGAGGTAGTAAGAGTACAAACAGTAATTGGAAACGTTAGGGTTTGAAGATGTTATTCAAGGAGTATGATACAGTGAAAGATATTTGTAAAGAGAAAAAAGGGGACATGAAGAACTGAGAAGATTAGAATTTGGAAGAACACAAAGAGAGGATGCATCTGCGCCATTGCAAACGATTTTGAGCCATGCCATTCAAGGTCTCTAACCATAGGATGTTATCGTCTCGCGGATCCCAACCAGGTAGTCTACACCTACCAACACGGCTGATTCAGTCCACTTGTCAGTGACTTGATGGATTTGTGCCATGTTTTGATCTGGCCACCGCTATCTTTCTTCCAACCTACTCCTACACCATAAAACATCGCTCTTTGGAGTAGTCGGTGGTTGGGCGTACGTAACACATGTCCAAGCCATCTCAACTGATGAAGTTTCACTTCTTTATCAATTCATTTGCCATCCTTACCTAGTACCCGTTTCCAACTAACTGCATTACTTACTCTGTGGCCCCAGGATATACGCACAGTGCTTCGAAGACACCGTGTGATCGAATACTGGTAACTTACGAATATCCTCTACTCTTGCCGGCCATGTTTAAGTGCCATAAAGTAGGACGGAACGGACTGCTGCTCAGTAAACCCGTCCATTGTTTGGTAGACTGATATCTCACCTACATCATAAATGTCGTAAGTTGGCAAAAGCTAGTCGATCTTTCTATATCCGTGCTCAGATTTCGTCACACACCAGACCATAAGGATAGATAAACGATTATGATGTTGAAGTTGTATTGAAACTGATGATTATTTGAACATAACCAATAGTCAATTCCAATGTTTATACATCTTGAGTTTTATGGATTTACGAAATGATATTGGGGTAAAAACGACATAATAAAACAAATGAATTAAAAAAACGTTTTCATGACCATGACACATAACAAGAAATTTAACGAATAAAGGTAATGCTAGTCTGTAGAATGTTACAAAATGCCATCACCGATCAATATAGATCAGTAATTATATTTCTAATAGGAAAACTTCAATAACCAGATTCATAATAAACTTATCATACTTACAGTATAACTGATTTTTAAAACATTATTGAAAACCATGTACTACATAAACGGTGAGACTATAATTTATAGACGATATTGAAGCGATGCTAGACTGACCTTGAACGTGTCCAGCTAATAATCAGGACTAAATTAGGGTTATAAACCTGTGTGAGGAATTAGAATTATAACTAATAGTTGATAGTTAAGGTTACGAATTAGATTAAGGGTTTTCATCACGAACTGATATCAGTTAGAATGCCAAAACTCTATTTATCCAAATGGATGAATGAATTTCATGCTGAAATTCAAGACGTCTTATCATATACATGATTGGTTTGTCCATAAATTATAGTCTTGCTATCTCATTATAAATTTTAAATGTAACCAAAACATTATAAAATGCTTTCGTCATTACCTGAATCACTATCAAGACTCATTTTGTAGCATAAATCGATAGTTAATAGAGTTTATCACACTTCCAGTAATGAATTATTCGGTTTTATTTAATTCTATTCACTTGTGAATCAGTATGGAAATTCTCCAATATGATGAAATAGAACTTTTACATTGAATGATTCGTTTCCGCCCTTAACTCACTATTATTTGAAGCAAGTACGTATATATATATATATATATATGCAGTAAAATCTAATCAATTAACTAATGGTAACAGTGATCAATTAGATGATCACAGGTAAAAATACTTTTTTTTTTAAAGTTCCCATGGTTTCACTTATTTGGATGTTTACTTCTTCACTGTTTTCAACATAATAAAGGGGTGTAAAGATAAAATTTTATCCATTCAGATTCACAATCGAATAAATGGATAGAAATATCTTAGAACATTTAGGAAAATATAATAAATGAATGAATGAGATAAAATTGACTTCTATAGAATAGATACATGGGTTATACGGCAATGAATATGAAAGTAGAATAATACAGCGCTGTATATCTTTGAAAAACAGCTGTAACTGTAGTGAATGAGAATATAAATGGGGATCAATCGAATGTGTTTGAGTACAGAATTACAGAACAAATGAGTAAAATCTGAGAACCATACAGTAACAACTTAATTAGCAAAATGTCAATCAATCGTTTCAGACTTCACTATTCATTCATTCTCACTGCAATCATTCTCTGTTCTCATTCACTTTTGTTCGATCATCTTAAACTTCAGCCGACAGGCATTTCACTTTCGATTGATGATACATACTACTTATATCTGTGGACATCAGTACCACACACCATATAACTATTGTCAAGAGGATTATTAGAAATAAATGGATATTCTTCAATAGCTACGTATTGACGTCAATCCCCATCTATTTGAACAGTTTACAACTAATCAAATTATGTAATGTACAAATCATTTAAATCATATTGGTTGTTTTTATACCTTCGTATATTTTTCTTGCTAATTTCTTCTATTATATTCGGATGAAGAATAGGTAATAAGTAACCGCTAGTATCTATTTGTGGACTTTTATTACACATATTCTTATTGTATAACTATTAGGTAACTATATTATATACATATTAATATTCCTTTTATTTGACCTATTGAATATTATCATGCGATTTACTATTCTTAAGATGTTTCCATTTTATTAGTAACAGTCTCTCACAATCACAGCCACTTTCTGGCTGGATCTTTTCTATGATGCGGTCTGGTTTGTTTGTATATAAACCTTTTATATCTGAAATATATATGATTCGTATGTCTGAGGCTGATATTGGCGTTCTAGACTAAAGTGGCTGAGTTAGGAGAGAAGCTGCTACTTTAGAGAACCAATAAGAGCTCTAGACTGCTAGTAGAGGTTTATGCGTCATTAGTGTGGTTGTGTAAGTCGATGTCTCTAATTGTCTGTCGTATCACGTGATATAATTAATCGAGTATAAGGACATAATACTTTTAACCATATTGTACTCATTGTCGTATACTTACCCATATATCCTTTGGTATAACTTTTTTTCAATATCTGTGTTAGCCTGTCTGTGTGTCGACATATTCAGTTATTGTTTATCAACTATAAAAACTGAGTTACACATAATTAAGCGTTTTTGGCTAGAGGAAGAACAATTCAACGAATAACTGCACCCAATTACTTATTTTCACAAACTACCCTTATGAAATAAATTCATGCTCAACAGTACTCGTATTCAAGTCATTATTTTACGTTATCGTTAACACGATAAGTTATAATCATCATCATCATCATCATCATCATCATCATCATCATCATCATCATCATCATCATCATCATCATCATCATCATCATCATCATCATCATCATCATCATCATCATCATCATCATCATCATCATCATCATCATCATCATCATCATCATCATCATCATCATCATCATCATCATCATCATCATCATCATCATCATCATCATCATCATCATCATCATCATCATCATCATCATCATCATCATCATCATCATCATCATCATCATCATCATCATCATCATCATCATCATCATCATCATCATCATCATCATCATCATCATCATCATCATCATCATCATCATCATCATCATCATCATCATCATCATCATCATCATCATCATCATCATCATCATCATCATCATCATCATCATCATCATCATCATCATCATCATCATCATCATCATCATCATCATCATCATCATCATCATCATCATCATCATCATCATCATCATCATCATCATCATCATCATCATCATCATCATCATCATCATCATCATCATCATCATCATCATCATCATCATCATCATCATCATCATCATCATCATCATCATCATCATCATCATCATCATCATCATCATCATCATCATCATCATCATCATCATCATCATCATCATCATCATCATCATCATCATCATCATCATCATCATCATCATCATCATCATCATCATCATCATCATCATCATCATCATCATCATCATCATCATCATCATCATCATCATCATCATCATCATCATCATCATCATCATCATCATCATCATCATCATCATCATCATCATCATCATCATCATCATCATCATCATCATCATCATCATCATCATCATCATCATCATCATCATCATCATCATCATCATCATCATCATCATCATCATCATCATCATCATCATCATCATCATCATCATCATCATCATCATCATCATCATCATCATCATCATCATCATCATCATCATCATCATCATCATCATCATCATCATCATCATCATCATCATCATCATCATCATCATCATCATCATCATCATCATCATCATCATCATCATCATCATCATCATCATCATCATCATCATCATCATCATCATCATCATCATCATCATCATCATCATCATCATCATCATCATCATCATCATCATCATCATCATCATCATCATCATCATCATCATCATCATCATCATCATCATCATCATCATCATCATCATCATCATCATCATCATCATCATCATCATCATCATCATCATCATCATCATCATCATCATCATCATCATCATCATCATCATCATCATCATCATCATCATCATCATCATCATCATCATCATCATCATCATCATCATCATCATCATCATCATCATCATCATCATCATCATCATCATCATCATCATCATCATCATCATCATCATCATCATCATCATCATCATCATCATCATCATCATCATCATCATCATCATCATCATCATCATCATCATCATCATCATCATCATCATCATCATCATCATCATCATCATTAGCTGGAGTCAATAATTGACTAAAAATATTTAACCAATCAATTTCAGTGAATTTCAAATTCTTGAGTAAACAATCAAGTTAATTTCCTTTATTAAATTATGAAGGAAGTGATTGGTTAGCTTGGGATAATGAAGCTTCGTTAAAATGATTTTTTTTTTACAATCATCATATTTTACCACGTTTTCCCCCTACATGGTATTCATTAATGTCGTCATATTTTGCATCACTAGTTACTTGATCTTTGTCACCAACCCCTCCTCTTTTTACTAACTTGGTTATGGAAACTTCAAAAATTTCAATCATACAAAATAATACTCAGGAATCGTTTCATTTATTTTGTTAAATCATTGTTCATCTCTATAGAGGTTAGATATTTGTGAGTGAACTCTTTATTCACATTATTTATGCCAATGTAAACGGATAGCCGTCAATGACAGTGAACAAAGATCACGATTGACAACCATTGAATTCTAACTTAATCGTTAAGTGGTATGATGCTTAATTCAAACTACAAAAATGATTCTGTGTTTCATTGCCTGTTAGGTTGTTGGTGTTTACGTTCAGAAAACCTTTAAATGGTATGAAACACCAGTTGTATAGCCTTCCGGTTTTCATGATTATTCAGATAAAATTTGTTTTATATTCAAACCATCAACCACTTTACTGAGGAGAACTTCATGTTTTTATTCTTTTGTTTCATTCCCCCCTCTCAGCATATGACATTTTGACCAATCATATTTGAAATATGTATACCATATCGATTGACCTAATGAGTCTAAAGGGTCACAATAAATTAGACTACAAATTAAACTCCTATTTTACATGGTAACATTCGGTACTCATGAATGATAATACATATCAACTTGGATTTGCTTTCCTCTTAACTGGTAAGTAAATTTTTTGATAAAATCTTATTTTCATAATTGTATTCATAAAATAAATTTGGATAGATGATCGTTAATTTGCAATGGAAATGAGAGGATTTCGACTGTTGATTCAAACTAGGACATTAAAATCACTAATTTAAGCTTACCTGGTTAATACTTAGTATCATGCAGATATTGTTTCTTTTAGTATCTGAATCGTTAAACTCCGATCGTATTGAAATACACTCTGATAATTTTAATATTCTTAGCTTGAGATAGAATGGTGGTTGAAGGTAGTCAACAGGAAACTCTAGACCCGGTTTTCGTGCTATTTGGCACTCGTCAGCAAGGTTTACCTGTAATCTTGAGGGAACTGGTGCTCCCTAACGGGTTTGCTCCCGTGTCACGGTTGCGGTCCGGGTAGCCCAATGGTACTAGTGGCCACATTGCAACTCGGTCGATAGCATTCGATCTGCATTAAGAAGGGTTTGACACACATGACATTGATCACCACCCAGTGATCAATCGATTGTGAATTCTTAGTTTGTCATAATGGTGGTTTTCGTTCTTTTCATATTAGTTTGGAGCAAATCTCATAGCCTTAATCTATTTGAAATCAAGAACTAATTATTGGTATCGTGGCAAAGAGTAATTCATAAACATTTCGAAATAATCATCACTCTGAAATCATCACCGAAAGGGACTACCGAATTGAATTAAAGCTATTAAAACTAATAAGTAGTAACTATGAATCTCTTTTAAATAAATAAGAATATTATTTAATATCCGAATCTATGATGAAGATTAATTTAAATTACGGTGGTATGAATATTTTTACTACAGTTATATATGTTTGGCAGTTTAAGTTCACCTGCCCCAAATGCCCTGGTATGGTAGAGGGTGAGGAGAGTTAGCTCTTCTTCTCGAAATGCTCTCACATGGCCACGCGTATGCAGCCATCTACAGGGAAGTCTTACTCACCGCTCCCTTGCAGTGTGGGTGTTGTTTACGAAATTGAGAAGACGAAAAGCGAATCTCCGGCTTTTTAACCGACCTCGTGGATACGGTGAATCCACTCTAATTTCAAACCAACAGTGCACTAAACAAATCCTATTTCTGACATCGCGATACATGGTTAAATAAAAGACAGAGAAGTCCATAAGAAGCTTTATCCATATACAGTTAGTCAACACTGGTAACTTAATGGATGTACAGTTGGCTAAACGAGTTTCGAATTGATGAAGGATATTGAGAAGGTTAGTTAAAAGTTATCGCAACTATTGATCAGTTTGTATTATCTATTTCAGGTTTGCTAGGCTTGTGGTTACACACTAAGAACATTTCGCGGTTAACGAAGATAAGTTCTATTTTACCCGATGGTTTGAAAAAGTTTCATTATCATTTGGTTGCGGCTTGTTTGGGATGCATTGCAATTACACCTTTTAGTGCAATCGGTGTTTATCAAAAAGGGTAAGAATAAATTTAATCTAATCTTATTAGATATACATATTTAACTTCCGGACGGTTCAGATTCTAATTAGCATGACTTACATTATTTCAGTCTTATGGCTTGAACCCTGCACTAAAACTCTATAATAAATATGCACTATGACCAAACTTTTATAGAATATAATAAAATGATGATATATTTGTAGTGTCATAATGAGTAGAAACATCAATTAGAGTAAAGACCTATTCCTCTGTTCTATTTAAATTTACCTGCTTCGATTTGGGCTACCGGGCAGTATCCTAACCCTCACACACATCGAATGATTTATGTGGAGCATATCTATTGGTGGATCCTTTTACCAACGTTTGTGTTTAACTAAATATCAGTTTATTCCGGTAATTTGTTTACTCTCAAGAAGTGGATTTCACCAGATCATGTAAGGTCAGATACTCTAATTTCTACTCATTAGGATAATACAGATGTATCATTATTATTTTATGATTAAAATTCTATCCACTACCTAATTAATTTGAAGTTACCAAGTCTAACCTTAATAATAAAACTTCCATTGAATACTTATTCTGAGTAGTAATTGAAATTAGCTTAAATCTTGAAGGTCAGATACAATGTAAAACCAGGTACACATATGCATCGGTCCAAGTTGCCACATCTCATTAGCACAACAAGATGAACACCGAATATTATAGAAGTAGTTGCCTCAATGATAGTAATATATATAAAAGAATGATTGTCTATAACGATATAATATAGGAAGAAAGGATTAGCCGGTAGAGAGGAGGATATAAAGCAATTTTAACCTCACACTCCAAGGGAAGACAGAGAGTGTACATGTGGTGAACAAAATACTATTGGGATAATCAAATGTACTTCATACGAAATTACAGAGCATCTTAATAAAATCTGAGAACCATATGGTAAATCCTTAATCCGCAAAATATCAATCCATCATCTCAAACTTGACTGTTCTTGTTGCAAACATCAATCCATTATCTCAGATTTCATTATTCATGCATTTTCATACCTATTGCATTCCGTTCCCGTTCTTTCCTCATCGACCTTCTACTAAAACACATTCTATGCCTGACCACCGTTATATGCTACTTGTGTGAATATAAGTAACCTACACCACATATACACCTACGCCATTGTGATTGATTTTGAGCCAAATCACCCAGAATCTCCATCCACTGGTTACGATAGTCATGCGGACCCCAAACAAGTAGTCTGCATCTACCAATATGGCCCATACCAGAAGTTAGTGACTTCAAGCACTGATGCCACGTTTTGGTTTTGCCGCTCCTAGCTTTCTTCCAACAATCTCCAACACTAGTCAGCACTGTGTGCCATGGTATTCGATGTTCAGGCATACGTAACACGTGGCCCAATCATCTCCGTCGATGAACATTTACAACCTAATATAACATTTAAAATCCTAGCCTCAGTAATTATCGGACGCCGAACAAAGACTCGTGAACTTCAAACACGAAAAAATCAGGCTGGCATCAGACCTGGTCCTGGCTGCATCGACCATATATCCATTATTCGTCAGGATTTAGAACACAGGCATGCTTATCAGTGTTCGGCAATGATTGTTTTCTTGATTTAAAAGGACTGAAAACACTAATGAGGTTTTTTTATTAGTATTTGGCTAATGACTCATGAATATTGCTGTAATTTCTGGAACTTATTTATTTAAAGGAATATTCCACTGACTTTTGAATTGTACATATATTACATTCATCATAATTCTTACTGTAAGCTTTTGTTCATTGCTTTCATAAAACTGTTCATTCATCTCTGAAGAGGTAATTTAATGTAGAGCTAAATTGTAACCCCTTGAAAAAAACATTTATGAAAATTGAATGAAACATATGAATGAAGTTTATCTAATTGTGTATTTGAGCACACTGATGAGACCAAAAATAAACCCAAAAGGAACTTTAATACAAAAAAGATGCTATCATACACTTTTAAATGGATTACCAGGTGAAACAGATGACAAAAATACCGTTTTGTTTTCTTGTTTGTCTTGTGAAGTAATATTAAATATACTAAAAGTATTCTAGAGGACATGAGTTGATTGAAGATGAACTACTGGACTTGTGTTCAAATTTACAAATAGTACCGGGATATCTAAAAGTTTGAGATGGTGGAAAAGGTTTGTAGCTCAGGTGGATGATTTTGATGAAGTTTTGTTCTCTGAGCTAGATGACTTGGTTGTGGAGCTTTCATCGTTCTTCAGAACGATTTCATCAACACAAACTTCAGGTAGAAGTGAAGTCTGGTTTGTGTATTTTCAGCCTACTGTGGAGGACAGAATTTCATCAAAATATCTAAAAGATTATTTATTTGATTGTGTCTAGTATTTAATCTTCTTCAGATACATACAATAGGCCTTAACCTTCATATAATTAACCACCCATGATCATAATCCAAATCGTACATATATGTCACATCATAATTTAGAGATATAAAAACTTAGTCATTTTGTTATTGTATCCAATATCAACTGATACAGTGAAAAAGAATGAGTTTAGATATTCTATCCAATAATCAAACTAAATGTTAATGGATTCATCAATCAAACATGTTTGATTCAGGATGGATAAGAATAATGAAAGGAATAGATTAACTGAAAGAAGAACGGTGGCATATCATTAGG